TAATGTCATTTGACAATAGTTTTCCCCAAAGCGTGATTTAAGATAATGTTTGATTAATTTTTTAAAAATAGGGAGTATGTGAAAAGAGATGAAAAAACGGGGACCTTTTCTCGTGTCCTGACATGGGCTTTGTGCTTTTCTCTACAAATTCACTCTAACTACAAAGGATTTTGGGAATGAAAGAGGGTTACAGGGAAACTATGCAACTTTATTGAGTTATGTTAAAAAGTAGAGAGGAAGTAAAATATAAAATAATATGTTCATTTGGTCACTGTTACTTTTGAGAGAGTATCGTCCGATGCAACAAAAGGGGGCTGAACACAAGCGCCTGTAGAGGCTGTCGGGCTCAGGGTTCAGGGAAACTGGACCCGAGATGAATGGTCTCAAACTTGACGTTTGCGGAATATGGAATGTCTGAAGCAAACTCGCAAAAATAGAGAGACCATGCAATCCTCAGATTAGGTAATACATCGAACGTCAGTTACTCCACTAAAGAATTAGTTGCAGTAGGCTCGAGAGCCTACTTATAAACGAAAAATAGGTAATGTAGTCGGTTGATATGGCAAATATGGCTTCATATACAATCCCACCACAGAATTTTCTTGAGATTCATATCTGCAATCAGTTTAGGCGAGTTCGAAACTGCAGTCCATTCGAGTCTGGACGAGAATACGTAAGGTCTACTCATATAATTGTTGTAGAATTCACCCTAGCCAAAAGAGCATGAATATATATCGTAGCTAGAACTACTTATGCTGAATTGATAGACTCAAGGGGGGCGAGGTGGTTAAGTCGTTTAAAAAAAGAGAACTCGATTGGACACTTCTGGTCAGTCTTAATGTGCTTCTTCACTCTTTCTCTCTCACAAACATACAAAAAGCCATTCAACTTAATTGTTGAGCTTACTTCCATTTCGAGTGGAAGTGTTGGGAGAAGAGATTCTAAGGTCGGTTCCAACAGAAGACGACGGCGAATTCCTCTTGACCAGCTGTCGATTGGCCTTACTGACGCTGTTTCCGAGGCAATCTCTTTCGATTTCGGTCCATCGCATGACGAACATCATCAGAGCGAGGTAACATCGTCACAACCAAATTGAAGCTAACGAATCAAGAAAACTAACCGGCAAATCCCTAAAAAGTGGTATATATTGGTTTGCAGGGATAAAGATTTCTTGATTTTCGTACAGCCAGAAGAAAGTTAATAAGAATTCATACCACACGTAGGTAATATATACGAAGAAAAGTTGCGTTTCAACTTAACCGAATTCGGAGAAATGGTTAAAAATTATGTAAAAAGGAGTTGTTGGTGTTCAGTAAGCCATCATTACTGGTCTCGTGAATATACACAACATGAAGACAGATGAGCACGCACATGCAGGCCCACGTACCTGATTGCAGATCGGAATATGACTTGAAATGACCAAATCACACAGTGTCCCATTTCTCAGCCCGTTGGCTTGAATACGGCTGAAAAGATGATGGTGTCGTTTCGCCGGGTCCGAAGGAGATCGCCTCGCCGACAGCGTCAGCAAGACTGTCTGTCTCTGCAAAGCAAGACGGCGACAGATTCGGCCAAGGCATCGGCTGGCGGTCGTCTTCTGATCGGATCAAGCCGCGAATCGTCGCCTCGGACACAATGCAACTGGGTCTTCGTGGCTGCGCGACCTCGAGCCAGATTGGCCGCAACCCTACGCCAAGGTTTGACCTTGCCCGCGGATGGTCGACCGCAAGTCGCATCGGCTTTCTCGTCACTTGCCAGACGCGACAGACAATCTCCACCGGCCTATGCGCAAGAAGACGCTCGTCTCCGAGTGCCCCGGCAACAGCATCACCAACCGGTGTCGGCCAGTCTGGCCGAGTCGAGTGACTGGACGCCCGTCAATACATAGACTGGGGGAATCGGAAGGGATCGATCACCTCAACACACCGTCCCAAAGGGTCGGTTACCTTTTCGTGTCGTTTCTGGTCGCTTTCGACTGCAAGACCGGGACAATTCGGGTTGTCTGATAAACACTTTTCTCCCACACACACCCATCAATCAATCCAACCATACACTTGTTATCTACATACAAATATGCATCCATCCATACATACATACATACATACATACATACATACATACATACATACATACATACATACATACA